TGTATAAATGCATCTTAAAAAAAAAAAAAAAAAAGAGAGAGAAGGAGGAAGCCTGGAGGAGATAGTTTAAGTGATGATACTGCAAAAAGTATCTTATAAAATAGTAAGCAGCATTTGGGAATTCAGCAATGATACACTTCCTTGACTTATGATAAGGCAAAATCTTAAATCCTCATTAATTTAATTGCCACTAATGCAGCCTTCACATTGTGTTTTACCAGTAAAGTAATGAGTGTGCATAAAGAAGACTGTTTCTACCAAGTAAGTAGATTTGGGTTTCCAAGGGTAATTGTAAACAGCAAGTGCCTAGATATCAGCTTTTAAATGCGAATTGAACATCAGCATAGTGAAATTAGGAAGAGAAAGAAGGTTTCATCTCTCTACTGCATTGTCATTCTTTGCAGAAAATAAATCCTTTTGCAGTATGTATTCACAAAACAGCCATTTATCAAAAAAGCGGCATTTTCTAGGGCTGAAGGTAAAAAAGGAGGAGAAATAACAGCTAAAGATAATACAACATGACATAATATAAATTCAAAGCAGAGTCAATCTCTCAAAAAAAGAACAAACATTTGTGTTATAAAAGGTCGTAGTTCCATAGCAAAGATGGCAAAAAAGTAAAAGATGCCTTTGGAAAAACCTGTATCAATATATTTTCTTAAAAACAAACTTTTCTGTGTTCTGGGTTTTATTAKTTTTGGGAGAGATACTTTTAAGGTTCACAATATGCTTACCTTCAAGAACTTGCATTTTATTGACTGAGATCACAGGTCTTATCTTTCTCTGGGAATTTGATAGAGTCAGGTATTGGTGTACTGCATTAGTGAAAATCCCAATAATTATCTATATTCGTGGAGCTYGCCCTTACCCAAACCTGAACTGAAGTCAGTTCTACTGGAACAAATAGAAATCATCCCTCTCTACATCTGTTAGAGATGCCTTTTGTAGGCCAGGTTTCATAAGCTGGCATGAACTCACAGCGCACATCTTCGAGGTAACTATAGGAAAACCAGAGAAATATGATTACCACCAAGGAGAAGAATATATATTTTTAGTATCTGCAGTATACAATGGCTATTAAACGCTGCCAATTTTATTTTTGTCCATACATCTTCACATTTTTCATCAAAGGAATGCAAGTGAAATCCCTTCAGGAGGAGTTATCCTTACCAAACAACAAAAACCTCTGCATTGCTCTGTAGAAAATCGAAGAATGCCAAGAGAGTGATTTCAACTTGTATAAATTKAAGCACAACCTCAGCAACAACAGTATAGCATCTCCTGATTTGCACACGTGTAAACCAGAGTTCTATGTTTTTGCTGTCCTAAGCTGTTTGTTTTGTCTGTGTTGGTAGTACAACTGTTGGGAAGAAAASAAATGGACAGTAGCACATACAAGAGAGACGTAAAAGGTGTTGCTCTCTAGAATAGCCCTTCTCTGGGAAGTGGAACTTCTCAATACTATTTTAAAGGACTTTCTTTGTGTAAACATACTGGATGCGAGTGTTTTARGCAAATGAAATAGTAGGTTTGTTGCTACAGAAAATAGCATTTTTCTGATCTCAAAGGCATCCCTTGCATGKATTCAAAGGCATCCAGCACCAGGGCTAAGCAGTGTCCAGAGGTAACATAGCTGCAGCAGCCTCAGCCCAAGAATCTGATCTGAACATGACTGTGCCCAGGCGGTTTCAGGAGCTCATCCAAGGGAGGATTCAAGCAAAACAGGTGCCAGGAGGTCCTGAAATTCCTGTAGCCCTGTGCTGCCCAGCACCTGTATCCCAGAAATGAGCCCATCCCTCACACAGGGATGTGCAGCCCTTGCCGGGTGGCCAGCTCCTCTTGACAACTTCACTCTACTAATAAGCAAAACTCTGAAAAAGTAGTTGAAATAAAAGAAAACTATATTAAAAAAATCCACTCATCTTGAATTCCTGTCATCCTCAGTATTATTAATTACCCATGTCATTTGCATTAGTATATTGTTAATTTATAGCTCCGTAGTGGACCTATGATAAATGGATGTGCCTCCCATTAAGTCACCTCGCGTGAATTTAGAGTTTCTGTGTCAATGGTTGAAACTCTTTTGTAAAATTCAGTTTGACCTCTATGGGATTAATAAACCCATAGGCTAAGACCTTTATTTCACGCTGCTGCTGCAAACTGTTTATGTCATTTGTAAACATCTGCACTTATCTAAATACTTATCCTAGCTTTTTTTTCCCCATTGAGTTTAATAAGCTCATGAGCTTTTTTTTTTTTTTCATTGAGCTTAGTAACTAAAAGCACTGAATCCAGAAAATAAATTCTATTCATCTCTAGTGCTGACATGACTGAATTAGCTATGCATGACATATCCAATCAGGATATGTAAATTCAGTGTGCATGTAAATACCTCACACCTCAGCTGAGGGAAAATCTGAAGCGTTACAATATAAAGGAAGCTTGTCCACAATATTTAAAGAGCAGCACGAGAAGGATAATGAAAATTATCCTCAAGCCACTGTGTGCCCTCATTATACTTGTTAAAATAATAACATTTATCATATGAACATTTTTCCTTCTAAAAAGGAAAAAATTGTAATTAACTTACATGAAGTAAAATCTCTACAAATTAATTAAATGAAAAGGGGAATTAATTTCAAGGGAAAAAATCAATCAGGAACAAACTTTATTAAACACAGCAGAAACATTAATATTCATTTTGCAGAAATGAATACAATCAGAAAAGTGCAAGAGGGAAGATGGCAGGAACCTACTCTTGCTGCACAATGGAGACTCCTCCATGGTGCTCTTGGCAAAGCAACACTGCAAATATCTTTCTGATATAGACTACAATATAGGTTTTATTTAAAATACTGAATAGTTCTAGTTTTTCAGAGAAGATATTCAAATTCCAGCCACAGGTTTATCAAAAAAGTACTGTATTATTAAAATTTCAATAAATTATATATAACTATCATTAAGAGCCCTTCACAAAATGTTCTGCTTTAGAGATGTCTCTACAACAGTCATTGTCCTGGAGCAAATTTTTTTTTTTTTTTTTTTTTTTTTTTTTTTTTTTAGCAAAGGCAGAAGAAATCAAGGATTGAATTCCATGGAAATATTCAGTCTTGAATTCTAAAAGTAAAATTTGGGCAATGAGCCTACAAAATGACTTTACTTTGCTCTGCTACCATAGAGAGAGTGATGTGCAACTTAGTTGCGATGAAAAAACGTGTTCATGAGATGGARGCCAGAGGTCTACATCCTTATGAGAAAAACACACTTGTCTAGAGCAAAGACAACAATATCTACTGCTTTCTTCCTCTTCATCATGAAATCCGCAATAGAATCTGCAAATACCTTGGGACGGGCGTGATGGAGAGGAGCCCCCAGAGAAGGCACTACAGAGAGGACCGAGCTGGCTGGTGGATGCCTCTTCAGTACTGTTCTCACATACCCGGCTCCATCGAGCCCACCTTCCATGACAGCCTTGCACCAACGAGGACCAAAATTTCTATTCTGACTACTGGTAGAAGATCAATAAATTAAGAAGTTTGACTTCATTTCATTTTTCCATGAAGAAAAGAATTATTAACCAAATGGTTACAGTCTTGGCTTTTTACCTTTTAGCTAGTGGTATTTCAATAGTTTCTAAGGTTCTCTTTTTTTCTTCAAGTACCTGCATTAATCGAATTAAAACTCTTATTTTTCCAGCTGATATTTCCATTAGGACTAGAATTATTATTACTTTGATAGTCTTTTTATTTTTTGGGCTAACAAAATTTTGCATCAGAAGTAAAATACACTATAACAAAATCCCCATAAGGCAAATTTTGTCTTTTGTTCTCTCTGTGAAAGAACGAAGCTCTGCAMAGACTATAATAATGAAAAATCATACTAAGACCTTCTTCAGATTTCTTGATCCAAGTTCCTGAATGTTGGTAGATGSTAACATTAGATGCCATTTAACTCTGCACAGCATGACCAATATAATACATTTCACATTACAGACAATGACAAAACCAGCAAGGAAAGCAAGAATAGATAAGAAAATGTTGCAATGTTATCAGGTTACCATGGCTATTGAGGCCTTGACTTGTTCATTTCTTGACTGGACTCAAGACATGAAGTTTTCTGGCATTCGCTTTTTATAATTTCAAAAAAAAAAAAAGGACAGAATAGAAGTACAAGTAAAAAGAATTTTCTGAAGTGTTAAAGCAGGTTTAAATACTTGAGGAAGTCGTGAACTTTCCAACCACTGCAGATATTCATGGTGAAAAAGTACTTACTGATAAGCCACCTAAAACCCTTCACAGTTAGAAGCTTCAAAGCAGAGCAAATTCTTCAGGCAAAATAAGCATATATCATTTTTTGTGTGTGACCTAGGGCCAAGTATTCAGCTGGTCCAGCTCACTGTAGCTCCATTACCTTCAACGAAATGCTGCTGATCCACCCTTAGAGTACTGACCCATAATCTTTTAATACACCTTGCCTGATTAGCACTGATTCTGCTTCTACAGCTACTTTTACAGTGTTATTCCGTTTACTTTTCTGGAACTCATTTACTCACATGAGAAAGATGTGAATCTGGGCCTTAATGCACCTAAGCACTTAAGCCATCTTAGCCAGATACCCTGTAGTAGCTGTAGAACAGACCCTTTCAAGAACAGCTACCTGCAAGAAAATGGGGGTAGAAACACACAGCAAAACAACTAAAGCTGCTCAGAGGATTCAATACTGGTACTGTGCTAGTAAAGGGCATGAGGGCCACCAYGCCTTGGAAATCCAAAGGTGCAAGYCACCTGTGCAAGCATGGAAAGAAGCCTGGTTTGTGGTCCAGAGCAGTGTCCTACAGCCCACTGTGATACAGTCCATGCAGAGCTCAGTCCTCATCCATCCAAGAAAGCCTAGGACTCCATCTGACTCTTTGTGCTCTGCAGTTCTCATCCAAGGTATTCCTCCATTATCTACTTGGCCTAATAGCACTGAGAGGATGGTGGAAATTCCCTGCACTGTTCTTCAAGCTGACTCTTTATCAAAATATCTGTATTGAAAGATGTTTAGGAAAAAAAAAAAAGTAGAACAAACATTTCAGAGGGCCTCAAGAGTGGTTTTGGCAACATCATTCACAGCACATGTACAGCCAACTACAAGTGTTCTCAACTACATCCAGGCAATGTTCAGACCAGATGTTCTATGGAAATTGAAGCATTCTAGAGTTATCTATGTTTAAAAAAAAGTGTATAGGATTTTCAAAAGAAAGATATGTTTTGACTGCCTCGAAACTCAAAAAACGCTAAAGAACTTTATTCAAAAACTTCCAGAGATTCAATATCAAACAAAACAGTACAAAGAAACAGAGTATGCCTTTGACTCACTAAAAACATATAAAAACAGCAATTAAATAAAAAACTCCTGAAATCCGCATTCTAGTAGTGGATGCAAAGAAATCCTTAAAATACTGGACACGCAAATAGCTGTGAAAATTTTGCAGCTTCAAAGCACAGGTTCTAAATTAGAGTTCCAGGCAAATAAACAGTACAATAATGATAAATATTGTTTTGAGCTCCYTTATGCTGCTTATGGATTTGCTGACATATGTATTCCACTTATTTGTAAAAACAGAGGCTTTTTCTTTCTCTTCTGAGCATTGCTGAGAGAATACAACTCCTCTCCTCCTGAGTGTTTCATACATACGCTCCAAAATATACTGCATAACAAAAGACAAATTTGTATAAGGAATATGACTATTAAATGACTATTATAATAAGKAGTCAAAGTTCACTGTTTTTGTGTCTTGGCAAATGCATAAACTATGRGAAAACACATGTAAAATGTTTAGAGAAATCTCAAGATGCAACTACTGTAGATAAAATGCCTTCTAATAATTTGAGATTTGAAAAYGTCAACAGTGTTACTTCAGATGATGCAAAAAACTTCTGATGATTTTTATTGCCTGCACTCTACTGCATAATCCCACTTTTAATGTCTCCTCCTGGTCTCCTCTCCTGTACGCTCCATGGCAGACATGACAAACATATCTGTTCACTCAAAGAATACACTTATTGCTTATTGACAATGGCTTGATTATTGAGTAAAACCTTAACAAGCTATGCTCCCATAAACCTGTCTCATGAGGAMCTTGATCAAGTGAAAAAGGAGCGAATCTGCAGGTGACTTGTCCACACAGATCTATAGAGGTGTTCGGAGAGGGGAGCTCTGAGCTGCTGGCGCAGCCCAGGCTGCTACGATGCAAACTCCAAACACACTAGCATACAGGGAGTCATTAAGAGAAGAAAAACAGCCAAATAAAGCAGGATGCCTCGTAACTCACTTTAATCAAGCTTCATCTAAGCCTGTTACTACTTAAAAAAAAAAAAAAAAACACAATGCTAATACTATGGGGTTTACAAAAACTTTCCTAATGATGGTCACGAGCATTTTGGAATTGTCCAAATTAACCCCATCAGCAGTTAATAAACCAACTAGAGCAACGTTGCTGATGCTGTAAAGAACTTGCACTCATGAGGATGAGWTGCCATTTCAGAAAAACAACTGGTGTCCATTTAAATGAAAACCTACTCTATTCTATTCTTTTAATAAAATTTTGGGCAACTCAGACCTGAACATTTGTGGAGTGGGAAGGTCTTATACTCCATTAGCAAGAATAATGGCTGATGTGGGGAAAGTTAAAGAATATTTATAAAATAGAGACATTTTCAATTCACAATGTGACAGCAGCTTCGCTACAGACTCCTTGAGGGACTAGCAACAAGGTCACTATAGCATCCAAGGGACATTTATAGAAGGAGGAATGGCCCAGAAGGCTGCAGAATGTCACATGTTATGTTAATCCTGGAAAAGGAGAATAGGCATCCCAGGAAATCAATGACCAGTTAGTTCAGCTGCAGTATTTAAAGATGCTAACACATGTAATAAACATTTCTGAGGCTAAGAGAAATAATGAGGGAATAAAGAAAAGGAGCTGACATAAATTCGACAAGGACAGACTGTATCAAATAGATGGAATTTCCTTCAGGGTAGTAGATAAGGGAACAATGTTAGATGTGTTGCATCTTGATAAGCAGTCTAATAAGCATATTAGTGAAAAGAGGCCAGCAAAACTCACAACATTAACAGTCCTCACCAGAATGGAAAATAGCATTCAAAGAACACCAATTGGTGATTTGCTGCCAAACTGGACTAGCATTTCAAGTAAATCCCACAGTGTCTGTTCCAAGATCAGTTCTTTAACAWTTCCATTTAGACTTGGATCAAGATGTTTTTATAAAACAGCACACTTTGAAAATATGCAGGTTATACATACCTGTATGAGAGGAACTGAAAGAGCTTTGGAAGACAGGATGAGCTTTCAAACTGATACCAATAAATGCTTCCAGATCAGCAAGATGAAATTCAATAGTATGAAATAGATTYGGAAGAAGTGAGGAGTCAGAGCATACTCTTTAAGGGTCATCATGAAAGATTCATTACATCTTTTAAGCCTAGACTATGAAAGATTCCTAAATCAAATTGTAAATTATGATCTGGGTGCTGTTGCTCAAAGCAGAGTTCTAGACTAGATGTTCTTTCTGGGATTGCTGTTAGATGCATAGCCTCATGGAGAGAGATTGTAATTTAAAAAGAACGAAAGTATCACTATAAACTATATGCTAATGAAATGCATGTCAGCAAACATAGCTTTAAAAGCCACACAGCTGCTATGCCCAGAGTTAGGGGCAGGGGGATTAAGTCCATATGTAATGCACGTTTTCAAGATGCTGACCAAAGCAAAACCTCATCCCTCAAAGAAGTGTTTCCACCAAAATCAACCCCCCTTACACCCTCACAGCAKGTTCATGATTGTGCCCTGAGCTCCCTGTGCCAGCAGCGAGGCAGCCCCTGGATCCCACCAGCACCAAGGTTGGAGCAGGAACAAAAGGGCCAAGCACAAAGGGAAAGGCCCTAAGACTGTTACTGTCCCTGTTCTACCTGCTGGAAAAGAAAACATAGTATTTGAAAACTGAGAACATAGAGTAAACACCTCTTGCACYTAATTCCTGTTCTCATAAAGGCTTTTAAATGGGAAGAAAGTCCAAGGGCTGGCAGGAGAGGGTCAGGGACCCAGTGGCTGCCAACTCCTGAAAGATGTCACCGATCCCTGATGAAACCAAAGACACAGGATGCAAACAGAGAGGAAAAAAAGAGGAACTGCAACTCCTTTTAGGAGCTTTTGTAGAAAGGATCTTTTCGAATTTTCAGATGCTAGTGTACATGGAAATGTAAAGTGATTAAAAACATAGAGGAACCAACTTTTTTTTTTTTTTTTTTTTTACTAGCACAGACTGATTTTCAGCAAACACTGCAGGATCTCCAAAGCAGCAGGTTAGAGTATATTTCTAAAATAATCCATTAAGTTTCCATGTCCGGGGGGGAAAAAAAAAGTACAAGTGAACAATTACTCTGGAAAATGAAGGTCATCCAGAACCTGAGCACTCACACACTGTGAGCTCATTCCACATTGTCAGGCTCCACSTTATCTCCCATAAATTAAATGTCACCCGAAACAAGAGCAGTGCATACTCAGTTTTCAAGAAATATCCTTGAACTAAATAAAACTTCACCTATACCAGAGCAGGCGTGTGTCATCCTTGTATTAATATGCACGTGCAATGCCAGGGACACCCTCCTTGGCAGAAAGTGGTAGTGACGAAGGAGCACAGCGAAAATCCATGCGATACCCTAATCAACAAGGGTGAGTCCGCAGCTTGCCTGCTCCTGCACTTGGACAGCCCTCTGCACCAGGAGCCCTTTTACTAATTCAACTTGGTCAGTTTGAGCAGTCACTGTCACATTTTCCTTTTGAAGGACTTTTTTGCCAGTGGAAAACTATATTTTTGCCAAGACCATTTTCAAATATAGTATCAATGAAGCGGTAAATTCATATAAGCAGAAGTAGGACTTTGATTTTAAGTGCAAAAGTGTACTACATAAGAGTTAATAATCTCCTAGGATGGGCCATCTATTATGACAGAAGGTGCTATTCTACCATTGTCAATCTATCGCTGTAGATATTTAATAATATTTAATATGAAGCAGCAGTGCATCATAAGCCCTGACTTTTGACAAGCCCTAGTTGCTTGTCAGCTAAAAAGCCCTTTTCATTTTGCAGTACCGTKCAGAGGATTAAGAACTAATAGAAAAAGAAAACGTATGTAATGCATATAGCCTCCCTTCCCTATTGGTGTCAAGTCATATAAATTCATAAAGGCAACAATCCAAGTTTATCACACATGCACCACCGACAGTACTAAGGTCTTTATCAGCCAGTGCAACCCCAAGGCCTGCCAGCCTATAAAATGCAGTGGTGTGTCCTGTAACAACTAAGCAGCAGCTTGTGCAAGAAAAAACAGGTAAGCTGTCATCTTCTATCCTTAATTATTAGAGGAGTAAAACATGTCACACCTCCCAGAGCTGCTTCACCCCCTGAAAGACTGTGGCTGATAAAGCTCCCATGTTTTCAGAGTTGGCAAAGGAATTGTAAAAGATATTCTTTCATTTCATGTCTTGTCATGTTAAATTCTCAGAAAGCATTCCCCCCAGAAGGTCATACTTGCARCGCAGTGAGAATTAAATGCTGGTTATTGGCTTTCAGTGTTTTCTTCCCTAAATGTCACATCCAAATATATATTTACTTTATCTTTAAGAAAGGTTTATACTCCCCTCAAAACTATTTGAGCATCAAATATGTTTTCAATATAGCACTTCAAGTACTTAGGTACTGTTTCTCTTCAAATATCCCTCCCTGTTTTTGTTTTTTTATTTTGCTCTCCTTTTTGCCAAAAAAAGGCATTTGCACAAAAAAAAACCCTTATTTCAGAGAGTTGCACAGTGGAAGGAAAGCCATTGTCCAGTTACATATTCCTAAGATAACTCGCTGAAATCAGACATGGGTAAGGAAGGTGCACATGAAAGAGTAAAAGAAGTCACCACCACTTCCTATTTGCAGGCAGAAGGGCAATGTCTATAGAAGACCGCACAAAAGACTGTTTTGTAGAAAATAAATTCCCTCTCAAGGAGGAAGCCTTCTTTTTCAAAACAATTCCCCCCCACACTCCAACCTGACTTACCTTTCTCATCATTTTCTTTTTGTAATTTTAAACTGCTTTCAAAAACATGTCTTTCAAATTACCTTTTGAGCTCCAAGATGCCCAAACCCAAAAACTGATGTAGACTTAAGGGCAATCCCAGCCTGCCAGCCAAAAAACATRCTGCTTTAGCCATATAACCTTTAGTCTAAGCACAAGTTTTCTCAATGCCTTGCTTTCCCAAACATCCCTGAGCATAGCAGTGTGCACACTTACACTTAAGATTTTTCAGTGACATCAGCTGGACATTTGAAGAATTGGAAAATACAAGTTGAGTCCGGAAATCACCCTTAGAAGTAACCACTGTTAAGTTTTCAGGACTTCTCAGGACTCTCCAGATCTTTATTCAGGAGAATAACATTAATCTCCTTCAAAAATAAATGCTAAAGAATTGATGTCTAATACTAAAAATAGTTGACCTAAATTCATTGCATGGTTAAAACCACATAATATGTATACTTTAACCTCCTATTGTAGCCTAATACAAATGCTGTTCTCAAGTAAGTACTGCACAGCCCTACAATCATTTGCAAAGCATGCTAATGTATCAATGGTTTCTAAA